ACAGATTTGCTTGAGGAATTAGGAGTAGAAGATGATGATAGCGTGGTGGTGACTTTGGTGCCAAGATCTAGGAATGATATTAGTATTGGTGGAATAAAGATAGATTATTTGAGAGAATGATGAGCATAATATTGATCATCCCATGAATTTTATGGGAAAATCCTTTAGATTTTTAATTTTTCTTCTGACCTTTGTTTAAAAATATATAAAATTTTCATTAAAAAATATAACAAAATTATTTTGAATAAATTAATTGAAAAAATTTCCAATTCATTTATTTTTTTTTGAAATGTTAATAATTAATTTAAAGAAAAATTTAAATCTAAGACACTCACAAAGCAGGTATTAACATTAATCTTAATATCATAAGAAAAAATTAAAATTAAATAACATTAATCCTAAAAATTTTCTTATACTTTTTTTTTAAAATTCTATCCTTCAATTTTACCATAGTTACTTTAGATTTTTTCTTGGATCTAAATATTTTAATTCAAAATTATATCAAACCAATTCTTTAAAATTTGTTCCTCAATTTGCATTATATAGTTTTCAAAATTATTCATGATTTAATATGTGTATTTTTCATTACAAATGAGGAAAATTATCCCAACTGTATTCGAATTTCCGAGAACATTATTGATTGAGCCAGAAAGGATTCGAAGATCGTTTTCGATCATACTGTAGGTAAGAATTTGTTAATCCTGTACGGAGACATAGGATTGTGTTTATAAATTATAAATGATGTGTGTAAATATGAATATGTATAAATTATGTATATGCGTGTTTTGTATAGATATAAATTGATAATAACAAAACTGATAAGGACAAATGCGTAAATAGTTACGTATGGTATGTTGTATGTATATTGTATGTATGTTTAATTATAGATGTGTATGTATGTATCGTTAGAAATTATGTGTGTGTGAATATAAATATATATTATGTGTAAGATATGTAGTGATGATGCATATATGTGTTATAATACATGTGTACATATTAATATGTATGTACACATATTATGCGTGTGAATGTGTAATATATATTTATGTAACAGTATATGTATTTGTGTTTAATTGCATGTAAAAATTAAGAAAAATGTATTCGTGTTAGATTGTTTACAAGAATTAGAAATCTTAAGTTGATATAGATTTTAAATTTTTAAATAAGATATTGAATAATTGAATAGATTTGGAAAATAAATACTGAAGAAATAGAAAAGTGTAAGTTAGTTAGAGAAATAGATTGAATAAGCTACTATGAAGGTAAACATATGAAATAGTTTTTAAAATAGAGAATTTATGTATATTTAAAAATAAATTACGTAGTAAGTAGATAGAAGAACAAGAGAAGCTTTTGAAGATATGATTAAAAAACTGTGAAGAATTAATCAGACACTTAATTCGTTAGTTATAAATCAAGGAGATGAGGGTGCGTGTGTAACTGAAGTTCAACGAATATGATGAACCTGCACATAGATAGCTTTTTAAAACCTAGTGTAGACGTGAATAAATATTTATGAGCATGTGGGTCACCTAGCAAACATACCTATTATGGTCAATGTACAATTGTGTGTAATATACATGTTATGAGGGGATCCTTTTCGCCTATCATCGATTGCGATATAACAAATATTACGCGATGGTAACCTAAATAAGCTTTAAAAGACTAACTAATATAAAATTATAATTTCGAGTGAAGTAAAATGTGTGGGTGAGAAGACTAAATTGAATCCAAGTGGAAGATTTGTGTATGTGAGTAAATCCGTTTTATTTCGAGGAAGATGTGAATCCATGTGTATGTGTTTGCAAATTTTGTGTAAGGGATATGTATGAGAAAAGAGTGATAAGCAAAAGAATAGAACTGGTACTAGATGTGAATTGAGAAAACAAAAATGTAATTTTAAATGAAAACAAGAGTTAAATAAGAAGAAAGATGATTAGAATATGTTTTGTGTGTTGATTTATTTTGTTGTGTATTTTGATTATGATATCTTGTTTGATATTTTCTCAATTGTAAATATTATTATATTTTATATATTGCGTGAGTACATGTACGTAAATTTATATTATAGAATATTTTTTTTACTGAACTTGTGAAACTCACCCCAATTTACCTCCATTTCAAATAAGAGGAGACAAAAAACAAATCCAAGATTCAAGAGAAGATTGTGAAGAAAAATTAATAATTCTATTTTAGAATTGTAAATTAATTTAGATGTCTTATGTATATACAAACAAACGATTATTTTGTTACAAAAGATGTGTATTAATTTGTAGTTTTGCTATATATATAATACTTACTGGTTCCATTAGTTGAAAATATTGTGTAGACGTCTGTATTCACCGACATTTGAGGTTCGGAATATTACAGATTGAGAGTTCAACGTAGAAAAAGAAATCAAATTCCTCTTCATTTGATGCTACTGCAGCTTTTTTTTTTTTTAAATTATATTGCCCTAAGGAATATATGATATACAATCTAAATTGTCTTTTATGAGTATCACGTAGCCTTTACATTATGATGAAAAGTGAGAGTATACTACTAATAGGTCGTAAATTCTTACATACACAAAATAATAATATTTTCACCAGAATATTAACAAAATATACCAAAATATTTCTAAAATATATATAAAAGTATTTTCATAATCATACACATACACAAAAAGTTTAGATTTTTCAACAGTAACTCAATTCAATTGAATGAGTTGTAGTAATGATTTAACTCCTGCTCATTTGTAAAAGATATAATTTCTAATTAATTACTGCAATGATTTATATTTATTAATGTACTTCTTCATGCATGAATCTAGTCCATCAAATATACATTTTCTGAAATTAAAAAAAAATTTATATCATAAAAAAGATTTGATTTTTTTTTTCCAGAATTTCAGCTAGAAATAATAAATTGTAATAAGAACTTCATGTTATATGAGTAAAATATTTTAAATCTAAAAAATTATTCAAAAAATATAAAATAAAATAACCAATTTTTGGACTATAACACATATTAAATCATCTGCAACGTCGTATTATGCATGCATAAAATCAAATTTAATATAAATATAATTTTATTCTGTTTTTTTAAAACAAATTACTATCTCATATATATAATTGTTTAAAAAGATAATAAGCTATTTAATCAAATTATTTTTATTCTAAACCAAGTTATGTGTTCTTAATCTTTATTTATGAATTCCATTAGTAAGGTTTAATGAATAGTAAATTTCAACGAAAAATTTAGAAAATGATAGTAAAAAAAGATATTTCTAGACTTTTGAAAATAAATATGGAGGGAGAAGTTTAATGTAATTTATTTTGTATAATATATTTATGCATGACCAAAATACATAAATGTTGAAAATTCTCAAAAATATTTCACTATGTATATAAGCTAAGTAAGCCATCCTTTATCTCAAAACCTAAACTTAATGATCATCAACATGGCTTCTCAATTATCTTCTTCCCCATTCTTCACAACTCTCTTCTCTCAAAAACCATCCCAACCTTGCATGCCAATTAGAAAGGGAACAAACCCTAAATTCTTTCCTAAATTAGGCGCTTATATTTCATGTAAAGCTACACATAGTCAAGAAGATGATGAAATCAAAAACCTTAGAACCAAAAAGGGAGAATTACAAAGTTCTACAAACAGATTAATGTTTGATAGAAGAGATGTTATCATTATCTTAAGAGGCCTCTATGGAGCAACTACTCTCAATAGTAAAGACCCTTTTGCACTTGCAGCTCCAATTCAGCCGCCTGATCTTTCAAAGCCACTCCCAAATCCATCGAAAAATTGTCGCCAACCACCCTCTACAAAGATCATAGATTTCAAGCTACCATCCTCAAAGGCACCGCTCCGAGTTAGATCCGCAGCGCATTTGGTTGACAAGGCATATATCGCCAAGTATGAAAAAGCCATTGAGCTAATGAAAGCACTTCCTCCAGATGATCCTCGAAGCTTCATGCAACAAGCCAATGTTCATTGTGCTTATTGTGCTGGAGCTTACGAACAAGTAGGGTTTCCTGGGGTAGAACTTCAAGTTCACTTTTCATGGCTTTTCTTTCCATTCCACAGATATTATCTTTACTTCTATGAGAAAATTTTGGGAAAGTTGATTGGTGATCCAATTTTTGCTTTACCATTCTGGAATTGGGACACACCTCTTGGAATGACAATGCCTGCTATTTTTACAAATCCGAAGTCTCCACTCTATGACCCGTTAAGAGATGCTAAGCACCAGCCACCAACACTGGCTGATCTTGATTACGGCGGGGTCGACCCGACGATGCCAGGAGATGAGCTGATTAAAGACAATCTAGTGATCATGTATAGGCAAATGGTATCTGGTGCAAAACTTCCTAGGCTTTTCTTTGGGAAGCCAAATTAGAGCTGGTGATGAACCGAATGAAGGAAAAGAAGGGGGTACAATTGAGAGATCTCCTCATAATAATTTACATAATTTGGATAGGAAATAAAAATCAGCCAAACGGGGAGGACATGGGAGCCTTTTACTCTGCCGGGAGGGACCCAATTTTCTTTGCTCATCACTCAATGTTGATCGAATGTGGACAATATGGAAGAACCTCGGAGCAAACACAAGGATCTCATCGACCCAGA